AAAATCAGCCTGAATGTAACAACTTATCTCTGATGATTCTAAGTTTATAGTAAAGTGCTGAATTAATGACGAAAGAGAGCAGCTCTTTCTGTTACTTTTTTGTCTTCAGATGAATAACCTGAACACAAAGAAGACATGTTATAAACTAAATCACCAGATCACATTTTACCCTTGTAAAAAGCTTCTTGGTTCAGATCCTCTGAAGAGTGAGGACCTTTACTGAATAATTTTTGAAAGAAAATTTTATAGCTGTCTATGCAGTTCAGTAAACTTTGCCTCAGTTTTGATAGAACATTTTGTTTTTCACCTAAACTCATTTTTTATTCATCCTTTTATATATTAATTTTATATATTCACTCATAGAGATACATTTTTATGTATGAAGACGTGGCAAAAAATGAAATTAATCCAGTTTATTTTAAAAATTTCATACAAAAGATTCCTTATTACCCTTGACTGTTAATATGAAAGTGAGTCTATTTTAAAATTAACAATGGCCTAAATGAAGCACCATTTTTCTTAATTATGAGACATAAACACATTTAATATAGGTGATCCCCTCATTACTGCGTACTTATGATTTTAACTAAACTCAGATTCTAAAAATTTTAAATTAAGCTTTATACATGTAATATGTATTAAACCATAATAGAAAATACTGCTTTGAAGAAACGTGATATTTTATTTATTGTAAATGTTTTTAAAGATTTGTTAATCATTTTTTTTGTTGTTGTTTAAATTGAAGCTTGTGTAATATGTTTTATCATTGTGTTATTTTTATCATGTTTATGGAGGCAGAAAAAGTTATTTTGGCTTCAAGAAATGGTCATCAAAATTTAGCAGTACATATAAGGGATAATTTACAATGCTGTTAAAATAATTTGGATCTGCCTTTAAAAAGTAAACTGTATCAGTCAATCTTTAATGCCTGTATCATTATAACCAACATGATAAAATGAAATAACGTGAAATTTAACTTTGCCGGGAGTATGAACACTTTCTGTTAATACAATTCAAATCATCCTCAAATATGTTTATCTCCACATGAAAATTAAAACCCTTTTAGGCTCCGTTTTATTTTTTTGAAACAACAATTGCTAAACGATTCTGAATTTACATGTAAGGTTACTTTGCCCCCCAAAATATGGCGGACGCGCTGACGTACAGTTTCAATTTAACAGGCCTATTTCAGTATCTGTCTTATTTCCGATTGCAAGTAAAAGCAACGATACTGCTGCGTCACATTGGCAGAGACCAATCGGATTAAAGTGATCTAAATGAAAAGGAGCAGAGGGATTCAAATATGGAATAAGGGGGGGAGGGGTCGATGTTTACTAGCCGTTTGATAAGTTTACACCGTTATAGACTGCCATTTAAACTGCAATTATTTTCACAGTTAATTATTTTCTTGCAGTATAAATATATTTTTAGCATAACTTATATTTATTCAGTGCTTTTTTTGATAATATTTCTTTCCATTCCCCCTCTGGGATTCCCTAATGGTCTGTACCGATCCTCCGTGTCAGTTTCAAGTTGCGCCTTCTCCCTCTGCTGTTCGGTCCCTTCCTCTGGCCTCACGGACAGAGCTCACTACTTCATAGTCCCATTTTATAATAAAACTTGGAACCTTTCGCTAAAATGGATTCATATATACAGGATAGGGGGACCTTTTAACCGCTAAGGATTCAAAGGTAGGACGGCATTCCTCCCGCTCGCCTGTGTGTTTCCTAATAGGATCCGTGGGCTGCACCGTTTGCACGTTTGGCGAATGAAACGCTCCGGTGATTTTCTCAATGGAGCGAGTAACGATTTAACCACAGCGACCTTTATAAATCTGTCTAGTTCTATCATCTGCATTCAACATGCCGTCATGCTTGTGCATCTTTCTGGTTTTAATGGGACAGCCTGTGGAATGTGTTGCATGGGGACTCTATAGAGTCTCACACTGAAATATAAAAGTTCATTTTCTGAGTTTTGCAAATAAGAGGGAGGCGCAGAGCCAAGGTTATGAAAACGACAAAAATAATTTAGGATTAAAGATGCAAAGTTTGAAGTTTGACTACATTTGCAGCTGCTGGGATGAAAGGCTCTTTAGTCACTATTAATATGCCTGTTATATCAGACTTAGATTTATTTAGTCATTTTTATACACAGTTGTAAACAAAGAAATTTCGTTAACAGCTCTCTAGGAATTTTTTTTTTTTTTTTAAGTGCAGCCTTGAAAAAAAGTTAAAAAAAATACATAAAAACAGTAATGTAAACATGTGCAGGGGCGGAGCTAGATGAGGGGCCATGGCCACCCTAACCCAATCATTGGCCACCCCTACTATGTTTTCCCTCTAATACAGACAGTGGCAGCAGTAATACTCTCAATTGGGATGTTTTAACTTACTTAACATTTTAATTTTCTATATGTAAACAATTACCTGATAACAAAAACCCTGTGGTTAATTATGCACATCAATATACTAAAATTAAAGATGATAAATACAGAATTCATGCTCTTTTCAGAACTAGATTTTGTCGTATATTGGGTAAAGAGGAAATTATGTCTCTGCAAGTCATCTAAGGAATCTTTACTGAAATCAGAGATGAATAACTACTTTCATAATAAGTACATGTAAATATACATTTTATGCTGAATGATTATTAAAAAAGTAGGTTAGTAATGACAATGAATAATATGTTCGCCCCAGAACTTAAAACTGAAAGAATGTTGTCCACTACACCTTTAATTTAGACAGCATGGGTGTTTAAATATATGCGTCTATTTGTTAGCAAAGGCTGTTGGAAAGTATAGTTTGTCTTTATTTAGAAAATATGGATGTTGTGATTGTTCATTTTCCTTTTGGCCCCCCCTCAGTGCACATTGATTATTGCCTGGCCACCCTTGTAAAAGTTTTCTGGCTACGCCTCTGAACATATGACTGTATATTTACAGTTCTAACATTTCATTTTTTTTTCTAAATAACGATAAAATATAATAAAATAACCCATTTTACAAAACATTCAACAGTATATTAGTTGAATGTTTCAACAAAACGATTTCAAATGAAGAACATAGAAGCAAATGTGAAAAGAAGGAGGCTGACTTCTGCCTCTCACTTTAATTAAAAGCTTACTTAAAAGCTGGAAACAAAAAATAGCTTTATTTAATTCCCATGAAACCTTCTGCTTATGTTCTCTGAGGAAAGACCAACCATTTGTGTCTTTGTTGTAAATGTCAATTACATGACCTTTTAACAGCCCCTTTATTTAGCCAAAACTCATGTTTGTTACTGTACAGCATGCTGTTTTCACTGCAAAGACATACATAAGAAAGTATTGCCATCTTTGTCAAGCTGATCATAAATATTTCTGTCACTCCTCCTGTTGGATAACAAATGGCTTTCTGACACTAAACCAGGCTCTCTGCTTGTGTAGCCTTGCAGGATATCACATTAAAAATACTTCAATCCCAAGATTAGGATTTTTACAGATAATCCAATTTGCAGTGGAATGTAAATCTTGGTTGATTTTTATTTTTTTTTTCTTGTTCGACAGAGCTTCACTATAAATACTGACTATGTAACAGGAATGGGGGAAAGAAATGGTTATGCTTCTTTTGTTCCTATCATTTCTGAAAAATCTTAAAACTTAGACATGTTTCATGTTTGTTAATAGTGTGATCACCACAGTACTTTTCTTTCAGCGTAATGGGAAATATGATACAGTCTAAGTATTGATGCTTTAATGATTAAACGGTGATAATCTATAAACTCTTATTATTCTTTAAAGAAACAGAAGCTTTTCTGTGGATGAATTGGGTTAAAATCCATGCTGTGTCCCTTCTCTGTTCTGTATGTATAGGTTACATTAAGTTTAAATGTGACCTCTGGGTTTATTGAAATAAATCTAATTAGATCATGAGTTTTCTAAATGAACCTGACTGAACAGTTTGTCCATGATGCAGAGCCCTGCTATTGAAGGAAGAATCTGTGGCCCCTGAGGGATCCACGCTTTTATTCTTGTTTCTTTCACTCTTGCTGATTGCCTGCACGCTGGCTTTAATATTGCAAAACAAATTGCTTCTACCTGACCCAGATTTGGTCCATGCATTATATGACCAGAGTCAGTCTGTGGTTAAATGAAGTGGGAGGTCCTGAGCTGACAGGCGTTTCTGCCGAACAAAGCCTTTACCTCCATCTCAGTTGAGTGAAGGCGTGTCTGTGTTATTGATCTGTGATTTCTATCTCAGTTATGCTTATGTTTTAGTGAGTTTTTTTATTAAATATAGCAGATATCTATGCAGAGGATGGACATCTCTGTAGTCCAACAGGGCTTCTCCTAGCTGTTGAAAATAGAGTGGTGGCCTAATGGTTAGGGCATTGCACTTGGGTCCCAGAGGTTCTTAGTTCAAATCCCCCCTCCCACAGACTGCCATTCTGGGTCTCTGAGCAAAGACCCTTTAATCCCACACTGCTCCCTGGGTACCGCACAATGGCAGCCCACTGCTCCCCAAGGGGATGAGTTAAATGCAGAGAGTTCATTTCATTGCTCTGTAATGATACAGTGTAATGACAATAAAGTTGGATTCTATTCTATTCTATTTTTGGATCATGGCACTCCATGTCTGTAGTTTGAGATCCGCAGCATCAGGAGGAGGATGTTTGCTGGTTGAGTCTGCAGCAGATGCAAATGATGGGACATTCATGACAGAAAATGTCACATATGTAATCTTGTTTCTGTAGTTCAATTTTGATATGTAATTAATCAGAGCTCCCTCATTTCTTAGTTATTAACATGGTGTACTGAAAATGGTATTGATGATATATATTTTTATTCTAACAATAAATAATAGTTCTTATAAGCACCAGAGGTGACATTAAACACAGGTGTGTGAGAGAATAGTCAATCTGTCTCTTGAATCTCTTATTAGTGATTAATTCAGCAGTATTGAATTTGGTGAATCTGTACTTTCACTCTGACACTTCCAGGTTCAGTCACAGACAGGTTCAGAAGCTGAGGAAGAGAAAACTGGCAAACCTTTGCTCTTCAGCCTTCCTGTTATCTAGTGGAATTCTTGTTCTCTAACATCCTCATTTTAGCACGACATGTTTTAAAAAATTGGTTTGGTTTTAAAGAGCGTCTTCTATCTTTTTTTTTCTATTTAAAGACTTCTTCGTTCATCAAGTACCTGCATTAAGGCTTTGACTGATCATGAGAAGTTTTTTTTTGTTTCTGGCTTCTAGTTGGTCATAGCCAGTTGAGATTAAAATGGTTTTATATAGGTTCTTTGCATTGCTTATTAAGAATCTATTTCTATTTCTCAAAGCCCTTGTACTTGCATTTAGGGCTATTTTATGTTTATGAAGCTGTAATTTTTGGAAAATATTTTTTTTTTCAAACCAATGCCCTCCATGTGCCTCCATAGTTCAGTGCAGCATCAGCTAATTTTTATTCTTAGACATAAGCTCATTAGGGATGAACGATATGTCCGCAATAATATCTGAATCGGCAAATGTTGACCATATTTAACCATATTTGTATCCGCTAAGTAAAACAGATATTTATTTACATGACGTGGCTGTTTTTGTTTTAAGGGGGGGATCAGTTATGGTATGTTTGGTCATGTGACAGCGACTGGGAAGCAGTTACCGGTACATTGTCAGAACTGTAGTTTCATGGTGTGCAAAGGGTGGAGAAATATAGGATATTGATTGAATATTATTCACCATAACAGGGCTATTGTTATCAAGTAAGTATATCAGCCCAGATTTACATATCTGCGTCCCTAATACGCATAACTAACATCCAGGTAATAGTCAAAGTCCACCCATTTTGAATAAGGGTCCACCCCATTCCCGTTGGTCCGTTCCAATTTGCATGTTTTCAAAACAAAAACAAGGCTTTGCAGAGCTACAGTATAAAACCTCGAACTCAAAACTATTCCTGGCATTTTGAATTGAAAAAGCTTCCTGGATAGGAAACAAAATGTCATCAAACTTGGAAACAAGTCCAGTGGTTTGTTTTAACTTTATTATGGAATTTAGTGTGTTATATTTGCATTATTTGTTGTGAAAGATAATTGTGTTTTACAAGCATGCTTATAAGCTTCAGTTATGTTATCCTTTACATCAATGTTACCTTCCAGGGGAGGGTAATGCATGTCAATTTTCATTTTTTTATTATAAAACTTAAGGGAGGAAAAAAAAAAACAATTGGCTCTGGGAAAAAAAAAAATCACAGTTTTGATTTTTAAGCCAGTGTAGTAAGCCGACCAGATCCCGGCTGCTTAGGTTTTGGTAATAGTTTGCGGCGGAAAAGGTGAGGCTGAGTCGCTTTGACCCGTTAATTCCTTCCTTGCTCTGACACCCTGTGACCCTGGAATATGTGGTGGGCTCTAGTTGAAGAGGCCAGAAGGAAGGAAGTCCTTTGAAAACAGCTCCTGCTGTGCCACCAATAACTGGATGCCTCCCAGCACTTGCCATGATTTACTCACACAGTTTGTGGCCATGGTTGGTTGACTCATCCGAAGCAGCATGCCTCCTGCTGATGTCAGGCTAACGTACGTTTCCTAGGAGGTCAGGACAGCAGTAAGCCCTTAAAAGGAGAGCTTCGTGTAACACGATGCCATTAGCGTGCTTTTAATTGTTTGGGGTTAAAGTTCCTCAGCAGCTGATTACTGTAAATAAAAACATATCAAGGTGCA